GCCGCTCGCCCTCCCGGGTCACGTGGTACATGACTGCGCACGCACAAACACGCGCACACACATAGCTACACATCCTCACACGCAGACATACAAATGCATGCACATACAAGTACATATATGACTACACATTTACACACAAATATAGATATACAAAACTGCCATCTGCACACACGTAAAGGCAAATACACATCCACATCCACCCACACATCCACACACCGCACACACAGTGGAGGAACGATAACGCACCTCTCTCTCTCTATCTAATCTATCTATCTACTATCCCTCCCCCACCTCTCTCTTCCTCTCTCCCTCTCGCACGCTCAGTATCTCGCACTCCCGCCAAAGTCAGCGACGCGTCCTCCTCCCACTACTACGCTTCACACTGAAGCCAGGAAATAGAAGGTAGAGTCAGAGGCTATAGGCCCCAGCTGAATCGTATGGCAGCACACTCGCGATCTGTCCCAGTCTCCCTCTACCGCGCGCGGATAGCGATCACCACCTCCGCTCTCCCTCCCTCTCTCTCTCTCTCTCCACGCATGTCCGCATACGCATCCCTCCGTCGCCACACGTCTCTCCTCCCGAGTCGTCACCTCTCCCCTCTCCTTCCTCACCCCAGTCTCTCCCCCCCCCATCTCTCTTCTCTTTTTCCCCTCCCCTCTCATCCCATTCTCCTTCTGTATCTACACACACTACACTAACACAAAAATTACCTCTCCTTATGGTCTAGCCATCTCGTCTTAGTTAGTAACTCGATATAAGATGATTCCGGCCAGGCGACGAATCCACCGACAGGGACCAGGCCGAACTGTGAGTGAGTGAGAAGAGGAGAGAGAGAGAGAGAGAGAGAGAGAGAGAAGAGAGAGAAGAGAGAGAGGAGAGAGAGAAGAGAGAGCAGAGAGAAGAGAGAGAAGAGAGAGAGCGAGGAGAGAAGAGAGAGAGAGAGAGAGAAGGGGGCGGAGGAGAAGAAGAGAGGGAGAGAGAGAGAGAGAGAAGGAAGAAGGAAGGGAGGGAAGGGTGGGAGGAGAGGGGAGGGGGGAGGAGGGAGGGCNCCTAAATCCTCTCTAGCCGTACATTTTCCCCTAAACCCCTTCTCAGTTTAATCATTTTTCCCTAACCCCTTCGTTACTAACCATCTGCTTCCCTCCCCTCCATCATCAATCTACTTTCCCTATCCCCGCCCTCCCAATACCCTCCAGCGATTCCTCCCCTACCCTCTACCCTTTCTTCCGTCCTACCATCCCTCCCCCTCCCTTTCCCTCAACCCTACCCTCTTCTTAAAAAATAAACATCCAAAATATTCCAGATTTCCTCCCCCTCCCCCCCCCCCCAAAAAAAATAAATAATAATAAAAAATAAAAAAAAAATCCAAATGATAGACCGAAACCTTTGTCTTCCACACATACCGATCTCCCTCCCAGTTATTTTCTCGGCAAACTTTGAAACAATTTTTAGTTTAATGGGATTCTTGTCCCGAGGCTTCCAGGGCGAATATCTCTCGCAAGATGGAGAGAGGCGAGAGAGAGAGAGAGAGAGAGAGAGAGAGAGAGAGAGAGAGAGAGAGAGAGAGAAGAGAGAGAGAGGAGAGAGAGAGAGAGAGAGAGAGGGAGGGAAGAGAGAGAGGAAGAGAGAGGGAGAGGAGGGAGAGAGAGAGAGAGAGAGAGAGAGAGAGAGAGAGAGAGAGAGAGAGAGAGAGAGGAGAGAGAGAGGAGAGAGAGAGAGGAGAAGAGAGTGAGAGAGTGAGAGAGAGAGAGAGAGAGAGAGAGAGAGAGAGAGAGAGAGAGAGAGAGAGAGAGAGGAGAGAGAGAGAGAGGAGAGAAGAGAGAGAGAGGAGAGAGAGAGGAGAGAGAGAGAGGAAGAGAGAGAGAGGAGAGAGAGAGAGAGAGAGAGAGAGAGAGAGAGAGAGAGAGCGGAGAGAGAGAGAGAGAGAGAGAGACAGAGAGAGAGAGAGAGAGAGAGAGAGAGAGAGAGAGAGAGAGAGAGAGAGAGAGAGAGAGAGAGAGAGAGAGAGAGAGAGAGAGAGAGAAAGAGAAAGAGAGAAGAAGAGGTGAAGAGGTCGAAAAAAAAGTTTAAATAAAAGGCATGAATACAGAGAGGTACTGAAGTAGGGAACACGGTACGTTGTCTACAGCTTTTTTTACAATACTGTAATAGAATTTGTTAAATATAACTTTTGGCGATGATAATATAATATTATAATTTATATTATGACAATAATAATAAATCTAACAATATGGAAAAATAACAAAAACAAAATAATAATAACAATATGAACAATTATAATACCAATAATAAACATAACAATAAAAATAATAACTGCAAGAACAATAACAACAATCATAATAACAATAACAACAATAATATCAATAATAATAATAATAAAAATAATAATAATAATAATAATAATAATAATAATAATAATAATAACAACCGCAAAAACAACAATAATCATAATAACAATAACAATAATAAACACAAAACCACAATTTCCATTACAATACGCCATTACTTGCTGTGTTTCCTCCAATCATAATCATAATTATAAATATTAGGGCAATTATCACAGTCATTAAAATTCAGTGACAATTATCACCATTACCATAATTGCTGTTGCTAATGCCATTCATATTCTCACCACTGCAATCGATCTCATTATCATTATTGTGTTCTTTCATCATCATCATCTGCGGTATTTTTATCATCATCATCAGCCTCAAAATAGCCACCCACTTCAGTGTTAATTATTATAACATCAGTGTTCTTGTCACCATTAAAATATATTACTGTTATCATCACAGCGATATTACCACAAGGGCGTTTTCTGAATACTATCCGTGTTATTGTTATTATGAACAGATATCAGTTATCACCACCAGTGTTATTGTTATTATGTACAGTTAATAGTTATCACCATGTGTTGTTATTATGAACAGTTATCAGTTATTCCATCAGTGTTATTGTTATTATGTACAGTTAATAGTTATCACCATGTGTTATTGTTATTTTGAATAGTTATTCCTTATCATCATCCGTGTTATTGTTATTATGAACAGTTATTGCTTATCATCATCCGTGTTATTGTTATTATGAACAGTTATTATTTATCACCATCAGTGTTATTGCTATCTTCATTAGTAGTATTATTATCGTGTCATTATTATCATAATCAGACCTAGGTTGTTATTGTTATCAGTCATATCATGAACAGCAGTTTTATTGTTTTCAGCATCATTAATGTTATTAATATCATTATCCTCATCGTTTTTATTATCATCAGTCATAATCATTATCATTGTATCAACATCAATATCATTGGTAACAGCAGTGTCATTGCAATCATCAACACTCGTGAATATTAGTATTAATGTTCATACCATCATCATCACGTCCATCATCAGTGTTATTGTCATCACCAATGCAACATCATTAGCGTTGATGTCATTAGCATCACCGTTATTGTTATTACCATCATCTGTGTTATTATTGTCCATCATGTCATGGTCAGTTATTGCATAATTGTTACATCATCAATCATAGTCATCATCATCATCAGTGCTATTGTCATATCATCATCATTAGCAATCTATGATTCTGACATCACCTTTATCATTATGATCCTTGCGATCATTACAACCACCTATAAGATTTCTAGATTCCTTCGCCACCACCCCCACCTCCGCGACAACTACTCTCCTCCTTCCTCCTCTTCCTCCGGAACCTCCTTCTCCTCTCCTCCTCCTCTCGACTCCTCCTCCTCCTCCTTCAACCTCCCTCCTTCCTCCTTCGCCCTTCCTCCTCTCTCCTTCGCCCTCCTTCCCCTCCTCCTTCGCCCTCCTTCTCCTCCTCCTCCTACCTCCTCCTCCTCCTTCGAATTCTCCCTCCTCCTCCTCCCTCCTCTTCCTCTTCGCCCTCCTCCTCCTCCTCCTCCTCCTCCTCCTGCAATCACTCCCTTGGACCGCCGAGCATCTCCTCCTGCGGCGCCTAGTGCCTGAAGAAGACGAAGGAGAGGGAGCGAATGCCCTTATTGACCGTCTTGCTCAGGAAATAAATCTTGCCACGAGACATAATCTTAATATATACAACAGAAGCGTCTGAGGCAATGGGGCTGAGTACTAAAAATGAATAATTCAATATCGATGAATGGTGAATAGACAACATGGTTAAAATATGTGTTAATACAATGCGGTATTCACCCGGCAGAACAAAGGCCGCGCAATCGGAAATACACAGCTGTGTTAAGGACAAAACCCTCATTTGGCGAAATATTTCACCCTAATAGCCAGTCATCCAGGGCGCTGATGGGGGGCCGCTGCGTGAAAGTGCTCCTGGGAAGGTGGATGACCAGAAATACTGCAGGATCTGCCCCCTTCCTCGGCAGCAGGACACATTACCGTGCTATATTTGAACCACCATAAACAAACAGCAAAGTTCAGCTGATATCTCATTTCCATATCGCATTATCCAACCTCCAGTTACCTCATCCGGGGAGTTGCTCAACAGACATGCCGTGGGATAATTCGGTACCCTGTGCGACAAGTGCACACGAAACCAAAATAAAAGCAAAGAACAAAAATTCTCGTCACTCTTCCCCAAGGCGAGAAGATCGCGGTTTCCATGGCAACTTTGGCGTCACAACTGATTGCCAGATGCCGCAACATTAAATGCACATTTCTAAGATCTTGCGCAATACCCTTTTAATAGTTGATCAATATAAAAATAGTGTTGCCGTTCCCGATAAAGATTTCGTATAAACCGTTGCAATAATGAGATCAAGGAATATGTAACATTTCCCGGCAATTTGGCAACACTCTTGGGACTCTACAGGTCGTGTGAGCGGCCTAACATGTGAGGGTAAGTGACAGCGCTGATAATTCCCTCTGATGTAACAGCCGGAGCAACGCACCTCTCTTTCTCTGTCCTCCATTGTGGCTCTCTCCCCGACGCACGCTGTGGCTCCACGCTGGGAGACAAGCGCTGATATCCTGCATTCGAAATCGATAAAAATGGAGTATTTCTCATGGCTAACGGCAACCAATGCACAAACAAAGTCAACACTGGCATTCTTAGCTTCAAGTTGCCACTTCAGCGCCGTGTGGCCCTCCCTCGGCACCGTAATAGAGTCTTCTGCCTGATAGATCTCGAAGTTGCAATGAGGGAAAAAGGGCCCTTGATGAATAGATGAATTATTTTGCAGCATTTCTCTCGCCGGCTGACAGCGCAGACAAACGTGGCCTTTGCCTGAGTGCCGACAACGATGTCCCGGAGTCACCACAGAGCCCCGACCGCCGGCTCTCTGTACCAGGTCAATATCACTGGCATCACTCTCACCATCTCCCCCCCAGATCCCCAGGTCACCATATCGGGTGTTCATCCCCCAGCATCACTCTCACCATCCCCAGCCTCTCACCATCCCCCAGCTCACATCTTCACCCATCCCCCAGCATCATCTATCACACCATCCCCCAGCATCCCCCAGCATCACAGCATCTCTCACCCCCCAGCATCATCACCATCCCCACCATCACCATAGCATCCTCACATCCCCAGCATCATCTCTCACCATCCCCCACCATTCACACCCCACATCTCCATCCATCCCCAGCACTCTCACCATCCCCAGCATCACCTCACCATCCCCCAGCATCACTCTCACCATCACCCAGCATCTCTCACCATCCCCCAGCATCACTCTCACCATCCCCCAGCATCACCATCCCCCAGCATCTCTCCCCCAGCATCATCACCATCCCCATCTCTCACCAATCCCCCAGCACTCACCATCCCCCAGCACCCTCATCTCTCACCATCCCCCAGCATCTCTCACCATCCCCGCATCACCTCACCATCCCCCAGCATCACCATCCCCCAGCATCACCCTCACCATCCCCCAGCATCACTCTCACCATCCTTTCACACCCGGGGGTTTCACCATACTCTCCCTTGGTTTTCGTTTTAGCTCCCTCTCTGCCCTCGCCCTCACCCCTTCGACTTGTTTTCCCCCTCACTCGCCTCCTCGTATCGCGTCCCCTCATATTCTCGTCCTCACCGTTCGCCCTCATCCCCTTAATCGCACTTTATCCTCTCTCTCATTCTCTCTCCCCTCTTCTCTATCCTCCCGTATTCTCTCCCTCTCTCCTTCTAGTCTTTTCTCCCCTCTATCCTCCCTTCTTCTCCCTATCTTCCTCCTCCCTCGCTCTCTCCTCCCTTCTCTCTCCCTCTCCCCTCCCTCCTCCCTCTCTTCTCCTCCTTCCCTCCCTCTCCTCCTTCCCTCCCTCCCTCTTCTTTCCCTCTCTCCTCTCCCCTCCCTCCTCCCTCTCTCCTCTCTCCGCCCTCCTTCTCTCCCCTCCCTCCCTTCCCCCCCCTCCCCCCGTGCTTATCCCTCTCCCTCACTCCCCCTTTCCGTTTTTTCTCCCCCGCCACTCGCCTCGCCGGTGGCTCAGTTTCTCATCTTGCTCATCACTTTCTCTCGCTCTCCCTAAACTCTCCTCCCCTCCCTTGATGCGCCTGCAACATTTGTCTTCCAATAACCACATTGCAAAGTTATGAAAAAAATACATTGCTTCGTGTCCAGACCCACGCTGGCATGCTGTTCTATAGTTACGAACAGCGTAAAAGTACCGCCGGGGGGGTTTAGTTCATTATGAACACTCCTGCTCCCAAGTTTTAATCTGCAATGAACATTTGCGTAGCCTCCGGCCAACGTTGGAGAGCGATGAACATTTTCCCAGTGTTCCCAGGATTCGGCTGCATCAATATAGAGTCTCGAAGGGCTGTGCACAGTTTTATTGTTTTGAAGGGCTCTTGAGTATTGAGAACAGAGCCAGCCTACACCGAACTCTTCCAGTTTCCCGAAAAAAAACTACAATATGTATTCTACGGTTCTGAAAAAAATACAGAGAGGGGGTTTGTGGACGGAGGCGCACTGCTATGAACAGTTCTAGAATGATGAGAACAGTGCCAGACTGTTGTAACACCGACAACTCCGCTCGACCTTAAAGGTGATAGATTAAATTATTTCTCCGTGTTGCGATGGATTAAGCGCAACAGACGCGGATTACCATGACATATCCGACGTCCTTTTAACATTCGCGTTTAACCTTCAGCGTGCGCATCCATCGAACACCAATTAAAAACCTCGTTAAAAAAAAAAAAACACACAATAAAAAAAAAAATAAAAATAAAATAAATAAAATGAAAAAAATTGGACATCTCCCCCTTGTATTTCTTTAACGTGATTTTCGGTTTTCTTTTTGGACCAATCTTCGGCACTCGAAATGAAAAAGTCAATACTCCTCGGCCGTGTTTTACTCTGCAAGAACACTCCGCCCTTTCAACAATGCCTCGCGCTTCCAGAACACTTTATTCCTCTAACAGAACTTAACTCTTTGACAGCGCGCGACACTTTTCGCAATATTTTATTCTGTTGAAGCACTCCAACGCTCCTTGACAAGCTTTTCCTCTTAAACAACACTTCACTTTTCAACGGCACTTTCCTCGCCGGGACAAATTGCTTTCTGAAGGCAATCTGCTAATTATCCGCACTGGCCTCGTTAGCTGTACTTCCGCCCAAGAACCGGCTGGCTGATCCACGGACAGTGCCTCGGGCCTCCTGGCACTTCACACCTGGCACTCCACTTCTGATGGTTCGCTCCTGGTACTTCGTTCCTGGCTCTCCATTCCTGATACTACACTTGTGGCACATAATTCTTGGAGCTTCATTCCTGATATTTTATTTCTGGCACTTCATCCCTGATGCTTCACTCCTGGCACTCCCTTCCAAATACTTAATTCCTCATACTTCACTCCTGGCACTTCCTTCCAAATACTTAATTTTTGGCACTTTATTCCTGGCACATCATTATTAACGCTCCACTCCTGGCTCTCCATTCCTGACGCTTCATTCCTGGCACTTCCTTCCAAATACTTCATTCTTGGCACTTCATTCCTGGAACTTCCTTCCTCTTACTTCACACCTGGCACTTCATTCTTGACGCTTCATTCCTGATACTTCACACTTGGCACTTCATTCCAAATGCTTCATTCCTGGAACTTCCTTCCTCTTACTTCACACCTGGCACTTCATTCCTGGCTTTCCATTCTTGATGCTTTACTCCTGGCACTTTATTCCTGGCTCTCAATTCTTGATACTTCACACTTGGCACTTCATTCCTGGCTCTCCATTCCAAATACTTCATTCTTAGCACTTCATTCCTGGCACCTCCTTCCTCTTACTTCACACCTGCCACTTCATTTTTCACGCTTCACTCCTTCCTGATGCTTGATTGACAAAACATAGTTCCACTTCTTCATTAGTGTCGCTTTCTGTCTTCCTGTGAAGTCTGCTTTTGTAATAAAATGATTGTGATTGTTGTTGTTATTGTTACCATTGCTTATTATATCATTATCGTTGATTGTTTGCATTTTCATTGCCATCTGTGTTGCTGCTGCTTACATTATTATCATCATTATCAAGGCATTCATTGAAATTGAAATCATTATTGGTTTTATGTTTTTATTAATCGTTTTGTCATTGTATCACTATTGTTTTGAACGTAACCAATGCCATTACCATCATCACCACCACCACCATCATAATCACCATCACATCATCATCACCACCACCATCATAATCATCACCTCCAAAATATCATCACCATCATCAAAATCATCACCATCACCACCACCTGATGATTATGATGGCCACCACCATCATCATCACCATCACAACCATCATCATCATCACCATCACCACCATGATCATTATCACCATCATCAGCAGTAGCCTTACTATGTCATCATACTAATTATCATTCACAATCGTTGTTATTCGTGGCAGCTTTGTCATTATTATGATTCTTACGATTGTTCGATTGTCATTAACTAACGACCAAAGGGCACTTTATGAAATAAATAAAAGAAGAAGGAAGACATTATTGTTTATAATTTTTGTGTGTGTGTGTGTGTGTGTGTGTGTGTGTGTGTGTGTGTGTGTGTGTGTGTGTGTGTGTGTGTGTGTGTGTGTGTGTGTGTGTGTCTGTACGTGCGTGCAGTACATACAAATGAAGACATATACGGGTATACTTTTTTATTAGCAAAATTCATAATTATATATATATATATAATATATATATATATATATATATATATAATATATACATAACATACATATACATATATAATCCATATATGTGTATATATATAATAATATATAAAATATATAACAAACACACATACACATAACTATATATGTGGAGGGGGCGCGCGCGTGTATGTGTACGGTACAACAGATTATTTCTGTTTAATTCCGTTGCCTGAATAAAGCAACAAAATAATCATAGTACTCCTGATTACACCGACGGAAGGCACAATACTCCACGCCGACAGATCGACATGTTACCGAGGCCCCGAGTGCGTGTGTAATCGACCGGCGGTTCCCTTCGTCAGAATTTGGCCCGAAATATTGCTTTCCTCTCTGAAAAGGTTTGGCAGCGGTGTATGGCGCCGACGAGGGGGTGCAGGGGGGAGGGGTGGTGGAGGGGGAATGAGGGGGAAGGGAGGGGGAGGGGGAGGAGAGGAGGGAGGAGAAGAGGAGGAGGGGGAGGAGGAGGAGGAGGAAAAAGAGGAGGGGGAGGTGGAGGTGGAGGGGAGGGGAGGAGGAGAGGGGGAAGGAGAAGGAAGAGGAGGGAGGGAGGAAGAAGGAGAAGAAGAGGAGGAAGGGAGAAGGGGAGGTAGGTGGAGGGGGAGGGAGGGGGTAGGAGAAGGCTTAGGAACAGGGTAGGGAGGAGAAGGGGTAGGAGTAGTAGGAGGAGGAGGAGGAGTAGGGGAGGCACCAATAATGGCGGAGACTTGTTGCACCCTGGCACAGCACTCCCATATTGGAAAACCGTCTGGGAAGGTTCTCGCCGGACTAGACAATTTAAAGATGGCTTCCACGTTTAATGCTGTTGAACTCCCCAAGGTTCCTTTTGCCCCCTTAACAATCACTCGCTCGCCCTCTCCCCAATTCCGCCACGTTAATGACACTGCCCGTCGCCTTGGCTTCTAAATCTGCCTTTTTTTCCTACCCACCATCAACCTATCTCCTTTTGGGCTTGTCGGTAGGAATTCAAAATCGCAGTAGGAAAAGATTGGGTAAACTAGTTTTGAACTTGGATGACAAACACTGATAAAAGACGAATCCTCTAAAACGAATCACTAAAGCTGTAGTCAAAAAGCGTAGAGGTTTGTTATCAAGTTACTGCACACTGACTAAATCAAGGACAGCCATTTTGGGCTTCTAGTGTCAGTGCGTAATTTCCGGGGCTATTTGTGCAATATGCATGCATGTATATGAGTGCATATATATATATATATATATATATATATATATATATATATATATAATATATATATATATATATATATATTTAATATATATATTAAATAATATATATTTAATATATATTTAATATATATATATGATATATATATATATATAATATAAATATATATATATATATATATATAATATATATATATATATATATATATAGTAATATAATATATATATATATTACATATATATATACATATACATAATATACTATATATAATATATATTACATATATAAAATTATATATATATGTAAATTATATTAAACATACAAAATACATATAATATACCATATCAATTATACATATATATGTATAATATACATACTATAATATATAAATGAATATATTCATATTTACATATTTATAGTATACATACATACATATCAATATTACATCTGTATATAACATACATATTACATACATACAGGCATATATATATATATATAATATTATATATATATAATATATATTCACTCATATGTGTGTATGTCTTGTTTATATATAATATATATATATATATATATATATAATATATATATAATATATATATATAAATTTAGGGTTTGCTGTGACAGGCTCTTGTGGCATCAGTCAATTTGTGGCTTGTCTGTTACTGTGCTTCTAAAACTACCCCTGTGTGCGAGGGATGGGGGGTGACCATCCACTGGCAGTGCGCGGGAATCGAACGCAGGTCAGCATGATTGCTAGACGAGAGACGGCATCACGGTACTACACAATATACATTTACATATATATATATATATGTATATTAATAAATATATATAACGTATATTGATATGTAATATATAACAATATATATATATGTATGTATATATGCACATAATATAATACACAACAACATACATACATCACACACACACACACATGTGAGTGTATGTGTGTGTTTGCAAATCGAGAACCCAAGACAAGCGTCTCGACTGGACCTGTGAGAGTCGTCCCAAACCGAAGTACACACTTGCACGAAAGGAACTCACTGAACAGAAATAAATCTCCCCAACGCACACTAGCCTGAAACACACAGAAAAAAGAAGAAATAAACAAATATGGAAAACTTTGACCGTTTCCGTCCCAGTTGAGAGCCAGGGGGTTGATTACGAACAAGAAGTCACTACCGGATGTGACTCAATGGACACCGGGTGAAAAGAGTAGTTTCTTCAAACGACCGAATGACTCTATTTGAAGTAATGATTAAAGCTGATGCGGCGGCTTGAAAAGATACCATTTTAGTGCTAATGGTAAGACGTCGTTCCCCAACAGCAGGACATTTAAGGACCGGTTCTTCTCATGCTTGTTTGCATTTGTTTTTTGTGTTTTTTTCTGTGCGTGAGTCGCTCTGTGCTTTTGTTTACATGAAAAAACGACAACTGGCAACTGTTTTTGTCTTTGTGCTTCTGTGCATGCGTCGTTCTG